ACTACTGCTGCTGCTGTGCTGATCTGAAGTCAGGAGCCAGCAACTCCTCCAGATCTCCAACACGAGTGTAGGGTCTCAAGGCTTTGGACCATCCTCGATGGCTTTCCCAGGCCACAAGCAGGGAGCTTGCCAGAAGTGGAGATGTCGGGATTAGAACTAGCACCAATATGGGATCCCAGCAAGTTCAAGGCAAGCACTATAGCAGCTAGGCCACTGCGCCGGGCCTTCCCCACTGCTTTTAAAACATGACTGCACATGTAACCCTTACTAGGACAAATTGTAAATTTTATGTTCAGATCTTACAACCTAGAGACTGTAATTTAATGGGCCCAGTGGAGTCGGAGCATTAACATATTATTAAGTTCTCCAATTAAAGAAGGTATTACTTCCATATTTTAAAAGAAGGAAAGTAAAGATCAGTGATTTCCCTAATGATGGATTTCGTTACTCATTTGAGAGGCAGAGCAACAGAGAAAGAAAAACAGAGCGAAGAGATTGAGAAATCTCCATTTGCTGATTTATTCCTCACACATCAATAACTGAGGGTAGATTAGGTGGAAGCCAGGAGCCAGGAATTCACCCAGGACCCCACAAGGGTGGCAGGGATTCAAGCACTTGGGCCATCATGCCTTCCCATGGGCATTAGCAGAAAGCTGTATTGAATGCATTGCAGCCAGGACACTCCAACAGGATGCTGGCCTCATGTAACAATTTAACTTGTGCCACTGAGCCAGCCCCAAACCATTAAGTCTTTATTTTCACTTTCAATACCACATACTTACTCCTTGTATGTAACAGAAGGTAAGTTCAATAAATGATGAATTAATCTAAAGATTTTGCAGCATGGTGACTAAAACCACACCCACATTCATGTCAACACCCATCCAATTCCTTTTATTTTGCAAGGTAATTATCCCAAAGTGATTGCTCAGTGGTGATATTTTTTTTAGAAATATTTAGAAAACCATACAGAGCAAAATCTTACCATTTAAGGTAATATTCACGAAACAGAAGAAGAGTTTATATATAACAAACAAACCTTCAAGCATTGGTTAATGTATACTGCAACAACTTCCCATGGCATAAATATTCTATGGCAAAAAGGGCCTACCAGTCTATGGATATGAGAGGCAAGGTGTCTATAAAGTCTACTAAGAGGATAATTTTGGTTTAGCTGTAGATAAGGCCTGAATCTATAGAATGTGAAGAAAGGTGGACCATGACAGAAGCAAATGCCACAGCAATCCACAAAGACAGAGTAGAGAGTTATAGCTTAGCGTTTGGTAGAACAAGGAGGTAGGCTAAGTAGCATACGACATTTCAACCAAATTTCTCTAATCTGAAATGACATGAGGATGCAGAAAACACCAAGAGAAAGAGAAAGGGAGAAAGCAGTGAAAGGAGGTGCCTAAAAACAAACAAAAAACCTTCCTACTCCTCAGGAGAAACTGGCAGGATTAAATGCTTCTGTTACTAAACAGAATGGCAGTTTAAGAAAGAGAGGAGCAATCTGCATAGTTATTTGTCCAAAAATGTAACTCAGTTTTGACATTTACCAGAAATCAGCAAAACTAGTTTCTCAAACTAATCACACCACTAAGTGAATGATACTGCACAAGTTACCCGATACAGGGAAAAATCAATTTTTGAATTTCTTACACAGAAAAAAACGCAGATTTGAATTGAAATAGAGCAATTTTTAGACTTCCATTAGGTTACTGATTTTTCCCTTAATACTAAATCCTTTTATGTTTCTATTAATTATTTAACTAGAATTTAACAAAAATTAAAATTAAGATGAACAATCATTTGAAAATGGGAATAAAAAGTGGTGACTTACGTTTCCAAATGTGATCTGCCATTTAGTGACAGTTTTATCTAATTATCATTTGGGGAAAAAAGCCTATTAAATTTGTTAGCCACAGACACTTTGAAATTTCATGTACTATAGCACATACTTCAGTAAGAGGTACATGGTATTCGAAGTAAATGCAATGATTAATAAATGAATGACTTTAGACTGACTTGAGAGTAACAAATTGAAGGTCAGATTCCAACATCATCTGGCGCTCTGGAGGACCAGGGTAGATGTGTGACAGACTAGGCTGGGTCTCAGCCCTTACTGAACCATGTGTGAGCTGTATGGGAGTATGGAAGAGCCGTGGCTGGGTTGAAACATCCAACAGTAAGAACCAGACTGGGTTGAAGGCCAGTCAGGAACAGCCACTGTTCCTGCTAGGACAAAAGGTGAACTGAGTAGGGCTGACCATGGACCCACTGGTATGCGCGAAATCTGGCACTGGGAGAATTTCTGATGGAGGAGCCTGGACTTCTCTGGCAAAACACAATCCCTGCAGGTAAGCGCAAAAAGCACAATAGGAAACAGCCCAAACAGGCAATGGAAATTATCCCACTGGCCTACTCATGGCATGGGTTGGGGGCAGACCAGGCTGAACCTGTTCACATCACCCGCTGGCGAATCCAAGCACCAGAACAGAGTGTGGGTCGCGCCAGGTTCAGTTGAGACACATACCAGTACACATTAAGGAATGCCAAGGTGAGATGAGCCGTACCAGATGTGGTTGCAGCGCCCAAACAGCACATGTGACAATCAGGGGGAGGAGGCAAAGCCGGCAGGGGAATGTGGGCTCCCCTGCTGGACAACTACTTCCACTGGAAAGTGTGAGTTGGGATGGGGGCAGATCAGACTAGGCAGGGCCATAACACCTGTGGGCCTCATGTGAGCGAGATAAGGGAAGGGCTATGGTGAGCTGACTGTTCCAACTGGTGCAAGCAAAAATTAGAGTGGGTGAGGGCTTGGCCACATTAGCTGGCAGAGGCCGGCACTGGGAGCCAATTCTGTCAAGTCAAATGCCAGAACCTCCTGGAGAGTGCCTAATCTGGGAGTCGGTGTAGCCTAGTAGGGAAATCGTGGGCACCTTCCTCGGGGCTGCCACTCTCACTGGAGAGCAGGAAAGCCAGGAGAGGGGCAGGGGTGGCCGGACAGAAAAGCACCTGCCAGTAGGCGTGTGGGCTGGATAGTAGGTTGGTTGGGTTGAACTAGGCTTCAATGCCCACTGACATGTACGAGAGCTAAATTGGATGTGGGACAGACTGGACAAGCCTGCGGTACACACTGGCAAGCATGGGAACCAGGGCAGGGAGCAGGCCTGGTGGGGGTTATGGGGAGTCGCCCCAACTAGGCTGCAGCTCCAACTGGTTTGCGTCAGGACTGAATATGGAGTGGGTAGGATCAAGCTGCACTGCAATACCCGTTGGTTCCAGTGCAAGACAGAAATGGAAACAGAACTGACCCAGCGATTGCAACGACCAGCATGTGTATAAGCCGATTGGTGTGATGGACAGTGTTGGACTCTGTACAAGCAAACTCATACAAGAATCAGGTCTGGGATCATCTCAGATGAAGTTTCTTTGGAGATCCCTCCAACTGAATTGCTGATCTCAGAACCCCAACCACGAAGAGACTGTCAGCCAGTGGACTCTGAATAGGTTTCATTGTGATTGGAACTGCGAGACTGGCAGCAATCCAGAACTGTTGAACTATCGAAACTGCATGAGCAGGACCCTCAGAGCATGCCGCCCGTTGGGGATCTGGGATGGGTGGGAGGTTGGGTGGGGCTTTTTCCTTTGTAACTCTCCTAAACCTACATACAGGGAGAAATGATAATATTAGTGTGGAAACAATGGTATTACCTACTCTCACCCTGTAGCCCTTGACCCTTTGTACCCTAATCAACTAAGTAAGATTATTAAAAAATAATTTTTAAAAAAAGACGAAAAAAAAATTTAATCCACTATCACATTGTTCCAAGGTAAGAGAGGAACCCATGCACTATATCTTCTAGATTTTATATTAGCATGTAAAATGGTTGGTTACAAACATGTAAATGTGTTGTGGTGAGGAAGATTGTGAAACAAAAACCTATGCATGATACAGTTGATCATAGACATTAATGTATAATTTGCAGTTTTGTAATATTTATCTTTGATACATGGGATTAAAATCTGATCCTCTGATAAATAAACTATGTTTTACAATAAAAAAAAAAAGTTGATAGTAATGTGCCAACTTTCCTTTACTGAATGGAACGGCCAAAATGTTTTACATTAATGTCCCCAGCTAGAAGGAAATAAGTGAGACTAGAAGTGGAAGTTGTGATGGAGGGGTTGGTCATTTAAAGTCTCAGGCAATATTCAATGTCTCAAAATGCTGAAGCAAATTATGCATATCACAACAAAAGACAAAGCTACCAAACTCTCTGAAAGCAATGATTTCAAATAAATATTCTGTAGTTCTCCATTTTAAGCAAAGAATGAAACAGTAATTCTGGATTAATGTCTTACATTTATACATATTAAGAGACTTATTACTTTTACTAAAGACTATAGTCCTTCCATCTCAATTTTATACTTGAGAAGTAACTTGATTAAAGTCATATACTTGGGGGCCCAGTGGCGTGGCCTAGCGGCTAAAGTCCTCGCCTTGAACACGCCAGGAACCCATATGGGCACCAGTTCTAATTCCGGCAGCTCCACTTCCCATCCAGCTCCCTGCTTGTGGACTGGGAAAGTAGTCGAGGACAGCCCAACCTTGGGACTCTGCACCCGTGTGGGATACCCGGAAGAAGTTCCTGGATCCTGGCTTCGGATCGGCATAGCATGGGCCGTTGCGCTCACTTGGGGAGTAAATCATTGGAGGGAAGATCTTTCTCTCTGTCTCTCCTCCTCTCTGTATATCTGACTTTCCAATAAATAAATAAATCTTAAAAAAAAAGTCATATACTTGGTATTTAAATCCAATACTGTCTGGCTTCACCATTTATATCTTAGTGGTATGGTAGTCTAGAAACTGCACAGGAGTCTTCTATTAAAAAGCACTTACTTTAATCTCTAAAAAATGTACAGCCTTTTATTAGCAATCAACTATATTCTAAAATATTAATCCTAAGAGGGAGAAACGTAACAAAGAATATACTTACTCATGCCTGAGCATTCTTTATCACCGTCCCATACATTAGAAACAGCATGTCCGGTCAGTAAAAGATTAATTAAACTTTGACTATTAACAAAAATTAAAAGTCAATTAAAACATGAACAAAACTAGCTTTCAAATCAATTAATTGCTATCTTAAAGATAAAGCAAGGACGTTTTAAAATTATTTTTTATTATTCTCCTTGATACATTCTTACAAGTAAAGGGATTTCTTCACCCACCCGCCTTTCTGTCTTGTTATTTCCCACCCCCACAACATCGGTCCTCATATTACTATAGCATATTACAGAATATTATTATAGTATATTGCAACATATCATTAAATTATGTTGCTTAAAAAACAAAATTAGGGAAAACCTGATTTAGCCCACTAGATGTACCAAGCTTTGCTAAATGTATTATTAAATGTCACACATTTACTGTTCCATCTATTAATATAAATTTATCAAGTTTACTCAAGATACTGTAGGTAAATGGATTAAGAAATATTATACAGACTTCAATATTCATGCAAAATCTTTAAAATATATATATTAAAACTGTTTCGCTTATATGGAATAGATCAGTCTTAACCTCTGAGGTAAAAAGTTCTAAAAAGAAGAGTCGTAACATGGCTTAACTGTCATCCTTTCATCGACTTTTTGTAAAATATAGCTATAAAAAGCTTCAGAGGGAGGGCAGATTCAAAGAGGCAACTTATTTTCTTGTAAACAGAGAATAGACAAGAATATACTTATTTATAGTAAGTCAAAAAGTAAACTACATCTTTTAAAAAAAACTTTATAAGCAAAATTTAAGGCAAAATTGAGTTGTCATCTTAAAATATTTGCCACAAATGACATCCGTTCATAAAGCTCAATTACAAGCTAACACTACACAAAGCCTGAGTGCACTACTGCCGCAGCCAGGTTTAGCTGAAGTTTCTAAATACTAGCCCAGGGAGGAGGAAACCGACGTCAGCTAATTACCTGCCATGTCCGTACACAGGATCTATTAAAGGTTCACTTGCATCTTCAATTTCATTTTTTATGTTTTCAATGCCCTAAAGAAAGCAAGAATGTATCAGATTTTAAAAAGAAAAATAAAAGTTATGGTAGCATTTTAAACAAGACCAGTTTGTAACATAAATTAATTCCTCAAAGAACATGTTTTTTTTTCTCTCATGGGCTCCATTTAAAGAACACAACTAAACTGCTTGATACTGGACCTAACAAAAGTTAATCATCATTTAACTTTTGGCTAAATAGACATGATGGTTATTCAAGAAGCTTATGAAAAATGAAATTAAAATGTTTATTTTGGAGTAAAAATTGTTGATCTCTATGTGTCTAAGGAATCAACAAAACAGCTGGAAAATGCATATTATGAAAAGACTATGCAATGATTTTTAAAGATTTTGCACATCCATATAAATCTACCTTTTAATTCCATTTTATAATGAACCTTATAAATTCACATACAAAAGATAAAGAAAAAAATAGGCAGTTTTTTCTGATTAAGCTTTCTCTCAAGTATTGGTAAGTTGGGGGCCAGTTTTTTGGTGCAGGTTAAGCCACCACATACAATGCTGGCATCACATTTGACTGCCTCTCAAGTTCTAGCTATTCCACTTCCAGCTCAGCTCCTTGTTAATACACCTTGGAAAGCCAGCAGAAAAATGGCACAATTGTTGGGCATTGCCAACTCAGGTGAAAACCCTGAATGAAAATCCAGGTTCTTGGCTTTCGTCTGGTCTAGCCTGGATTATCCTCGGTAGTCCGGCCATTGTGGCTGCTTGGGGAGTGAATCGTTGGAGGGAAGATCTTCCTCTCTATCTCTCCTCTTCTCTGTATATTTGACTTTCCAATAAAAATAAATAAATATTTTTTAAATGGTAATTTGAATATCTACTGAAGGGCCCAGTTCTGTGGCCTAGTGGCTAAAGTCCTCGCCTTAAATGTGCTGGAATCCCATATTGGCACCCAGTTCTAGTCCTGGCAGCCCCACTTCCCATCCAGCTCCCTGCTTGTGGCCTGGGAAAGCAGTTGAAGAGGGTCCAAAACCTTGGAACCCTGCACCCACGTGGGTGACCTGGACGAAGTTCCTGGCTCCTGGCTCGGGATCAGGATCGGCACAGCACCAGCCATTGTGGTCACTTGGGGAGTGAATCATCAAATGGAAGATCTTCCTCTCTGTCTCTCGCCTTCTCTGTATATCTGACTTTGCAATAAAAAATACATCAATTTTTAAATATATATACTATATATATTAAATATATATATATAGACAAAATATAATTAGGAAAGCAGAAATCTTCTTTTTATTTATTTGAAAACCAGCATCCAGATACTTTTAAATTCTTCAAAAGGGAACTCAAACACAAAAAGTTCTAGATACTGAATGCGCTGAAGTACTTAACCTCACCCCTTCAAAAAAATGACACAGAAAAAAAATGTATTGCATTCACTTAACCTCAACCACTGGTTCTTTTTCATATGGAAAACTTCAGCACATCCATCAACCCTTATTCATATCAAATGGTCACTGAATTGCAACCAATAAAACTACATACTTTCCTTTATTTATCTAACTTGCAAGACAGAGAGGTATACTCAGGCAAAGAGTTATCATTGGCTGGTTCACACCTTATTGCCCACTGGGCTGGGGCCGGAACTGGCCCATTAATGCAGCTCTCCTACGGCGGCAGACGCCGTATCATGTGGCTGACTATGTACTAGCAAGAAACTTGAACTAAAAGTAGAGGCAAGACTTACGGCCCAGCACTTTCATATGGGATATAAGCATTTCCAAGTATCACCTTAATCACTATTCCAAACACCCACACCCAAACAGGATGTTTTATTTCAAGATTTAGAAATAGTAAACATAAAATTACTCATCAAAGCTTGAAAAACCAAACTTAGAGGAAGAAGTATCTTCTTAAACAAACCTTTGTAAGTAACACAGAATACAGAAAAAGCAATACTCCAAATTTGTTTCCCCACATTGAATACTGGTCCAAGACAGCATCTTTTAATTCTGATAAACTTCTGAATGATCTTTTTCTGAGAGAAAAAAATAATTACGCATTAGTATCATCATGAATTGATCCTATTCAAAAATAGAAACAAATTTTAATCGCCTTACACTTTAACATCTGCACAGCACAACAGATCTGTGTAAGTGTCTCAAATACAAATTCAGCTATTATACACACAATTACTACTGACAATTACCACTACATATATAGCATACCACTAAGACAGAATGCCTACTTGGCAAGGACTGCTTTCATTCCTAACATGAACTGTCTGGCATCAAAACATTTGTTAATAACGTAATTATTTTGATTATTTGATAATAGCTCTCTTACAAGTTTTTAAGAACAAACAAATTTAGTTTCTGAGTTTGGAAATCATCTAAAAATATATTATAGATTTTAATATATATTTTAAATATATCTAAAAGCTAAATAAAAGGCAAGCATTTCCAGCTTCTGAAAGAAATCAATTACAACTTTAAACCAAACACCTTCCATAATTTTATCAACAGTCATCCTTACCTTTTATTTTGTAACAAAGTTAAATGTTCTAATAAAAGTATGGGCACTTTTAAAGAAAATTACAGAAAGAAAACTTGGCAGATGAGAAATAACACTATCTCACATTTACCTCGCAGAACTTCGTTCAGAACACAACAACATTAAACTTTTTTCATTGCATCACTGAAAACACTCTGAACATTTTTTAATAAAGCATCTTTCAATATTTTAGGATATAGAACAACTAAAGTATGTATTTACAAGTTACTCTTTACTCTTTTTGACTAAAAAGCAAATAAATCCTCAAGCAATGGATTTAAAATTCATGTTTAAGTAGTGCAGTCTACAGAAATCTAAGACCTTTTCCATAGCATGGAGACTTAAAATGGCAATGTGTGCACAAGGTAAGTATTTTAAATGTTCCAATGTTACTTACTGAATTAATGCATGAAATCGCTCAAAGCCAAGCTCTTCGACAGCCAAGGCAGCTATACATAAAAGACACTTTTCAGCACTACACATGGCAAATAAATGACACAAGATACACACAGCAGGCTGTAAATATTTTCAAGCAATCAAACTTTCCCTATTCCCTTACTCTCTTAAAATTGTTTATTTTCAATTTTACTATAACACAAACTTATATTTCAACACTTTAGTTACCATTATTGTAAGTAAAAATAGATATAATATTGAGAATGCAGAGGGGCAATTAAATATCAAGCACTTCTTTTCAGATTCTAGGACAAATTATAAAACAGGTGAAATTATTGACAATCAAGTGCTTCACACATCAATACAATGTGTCCTGCACCTTTAAATAATCTTTAAATGTACAGATATAAATGAAATTATGATAGCTCTGTCATCTTCCTTTATAATATAAAATCCTTAGATGTAATGCTTACTTATTTAAAATATTTTATAAAAAGGCATAGCACTTTGAAATTACACAGGTTCAACAATAGCTTTAAGTTTGTTTCCTCATTTATTCTTTTAACCATTCCAAAGTTTTAGTAATTTAAATTACATTTACTCACAGTACAGATGTACATACAGAAAAATCAAAGGAAGCATCTGAATCAGAGGTGAAGGTTACCTTCACTGGGCCAAACCTTTACTGTTTTAAAGGTCTGACTCTTTTTAATGCTCATAACACTTTTACCTCCATTTTACGGAAGAATTTTAGGCACAAAGAAAAATTCTGTCACAGGCACATAGCAAAAAACATAAAGGCCTGAGATTTGAACCCAGTTATTCAGGGTTCCAGGGAGATGAAGCTATAATGATAACCTCAAAATATTTTAATCCATGAACAATTTCACATATATTTTACACTTAGAACAAATATATACTCTCACAAGTCACTTAGGAAAACTTTCAATTATAAATTCAAAATTTTAAGTTTTTACTTTCAATTTGAAATGTTACATGATGTCAGATATTTCAAAACCTAGTTTTAGTTTTCAAATCACTTCTAAAAATCTCTTGGCTTTCATGGGAAACAAACTGAAATTGAACCCGAGTACTCACTACAGCAAACAACTGTGCATTACCAACAAGCAAAAACAACACACATTACACAAGCCAATGAAATTAATGCTTGTACAGAATGTAATATAATGAAGGGGGAAACACTTCACATTTAAAATTTCAGGATAAAATAAAAATTCTACGGAACCCTTTCCCAACTGTGCTAAATGTTCTGCAGTGCTTGATTATCCTAACAACACTAATTATACTATAAAAGTAAACACAGACAGAAATTTAGAGAAAAGAGGCAAGCAAAATAAAAAGCTTAGCAGGCAGGGATGGTGGAAAATAAAACACAAGAACAGAACATTGCTGGGAATAAAGGAAAGAGGAGGTAAATAGATTGTTACATGGAATAAGAATTTTAATGTGAGTTCTGTTTGTCATATGTAAAGTAAATTCTAAAACCTTCAGGTCAAAAAAACACTTCAAATGTACACAATATTACAAATAATTTTAAAAGTTTATTTCATGTCAATTTTTAAAATGAAGCACAAGCTAAATTGGGAAGTTACTAAAACGTGTCTTTTGGAGGCAAATTGAAAATAATATGCCCATATAAATTAGTTACTTAAGCACAAAAGCTAACTCATTAAAAGGCCATTTCTTAACCTATCACTACAGATGTAAGAGCATATTCTATCACAAGCATACCGCATAACAAAGGTACTAATGACAAAGTTAAAAAAAAAAAAGGCTCACTGTATTTCCATATAGTAACAAACAGGTTGGCTCTAAGTTCATATTCTTGAAAACACCTTTTGTTATTTTATCAAAAAAATAATAAATTATTCATTTCTCAATATGTTGGTATCTTGATCAAAACTGCTAAACATATTTACATGTAACCAGAAAAAGCTAGGAAATGCTTTAAAAGCAATCATAAACGACATTTGACCATCATTCTTGTGAATATTATCCATTAGTTGTCTTTGTCCTTACCAGCTCTAGCAATGTTAATTTTTTTATGAAAAGATATATATAAAAGTCACAAAAAGGAAATAAATTTATTTGTTTAAATTTCTAAAATTACTTCTCGCAAATGCACTACTATTCGAATTTTTCCAGGTGTAAGGCATTTACAAAGGAAGAAAAGAGAAGACACTGACAGCACAGGGATTTCCCAGCTAAGCAGGCGGAAATGTTTTACAGATAATCTTATATGGAAAGCAACACATTTATAACAATGAAAGAAATTTATAAACAATTTATAAACCAGATGCCTGGTTTCTTTGAAAACTAGTAACCTCCTCAGTTAAGTACTTGGGACTACCAATTATCAAAAACCAGCTATTAACAATATTATCCCTGAAAACCAGATCAGAAAAGCAATTCTTATCTACTTTAATACCACCAGAATTTTCCATTTTTCTGCTCACTCCAGCAAATTTTTAGGTCAATCACATTAGACTGTCAAAAATCAAAGACCAAGAATAGATGAGCATAATTTCTATAAATAATGAGAATAGTTATTATTTCACAAAGAGAAAAATTCAATCAAGGCATGATGAACTTAGGGCTTAAAAGCTCCCTTAAAATAATCCATGTTACAACAATGTCCTAAAAATTCATAAAGAAGACAAATATCATGTAATGGAAAATGTTATCCATCAATGCTCTTAGAAGCAACTAGTTATTTAAGAAATTTTCTGACATAAAAAATTCCCTTCCTTTCTAACAAGGCATCTGAAACAGAGGACACTTAAAAGAAATACAAAGAAAAAGGGATTTAAGAAGAAAGTTCACCTTGTTGCAAAATTTTTTTTTAAATTCATGGTTTATTCATAGTATACGTTTTTCATAAACTTTCCAAAGACCATACATATGTTCTTTAGACTTTCTAAATAAGCATTCCACACTCAAAAGACATTGTTATCAGGGAGAGGCTCACTGTAACTTAAAAAATTGTTTTGAGAGATGTATTTTTTGCAAAATTATCTTTCAGTAATTGAAATAACTGAAAAAATTTTAAAATATTAAAGTTCATGAATTAACCTTAAGCTACAAAGACTAGGAAAGTTAGAAATCTGTTTTTCAAAATTTAAGTTTTTTTAAAACAAAAGTAGAAGAAATGATTTCAGTAAATAAAAATGAATCTTACAAGAATGTTCCACTTGGCAACTAGATTCTGCAGGACTTCCAGAAATACTAGCAGGTTCTTCAGTCGTCTTTGCTCTTAACCATGAAACCAAGCAATACGATCCAGAGTTGTCACAGCAAGCACTTTCTAAAATATCACATAAAGTGTGACAAAGGAGTTCCTTCCGCTCTTCCTCTAAAAATAAAAATACGCATTACAACGGTTTTATCTGAAAAACAAAAAACCCTGTCACACAAACAATATCAATATAAGTTAATTTAATGATGGAAACCAAGCATTTTCAAATGTGAAAAACTATGTAAGCAACAGCTTTAAAATTATGTTTTAGAAAAACCTGTGGTTAAGGGTTAAAGCTACCTCTAAGCACTGTTATTTAAAAACAAAAATTCTGAAAAAGGCAGAATTAAACATCATGAAAAGAAATGCTGCTGGGAATAATCAGATAATTGATCATCCCTGTCTTAAAATGCTAATGCAGCATGTAAGTCATGAAGTTTCCTTCACTCAACCACCAACTACAACAACCTGCTAAGATCCTTTCAATTGGTGAATTAGTCCGCAGTAGACTAAGTAGATACGTTCCATAAGAACATCATAAACACATACACTACCACAATCTGTGACACCAGCAGGGCAATAATAACTAGACATTCACATTTTTTGGTGTTTGCTTTTAAGATTTATTTAATTTTATTGCAAAGCCAGATATACAGAGAGGAGGAGAGACAGAGAGGAAGATCTTCCATCCGATGATTCACTCCCCAAGTGAGTGCAACGGCCAGAGCTGCCCTGATTTGAAGCCAGGAGCCAGGAGCCTCTTCCGGGTCTGCCACATGGGTACAGGGTCCCAAAGCTTTGGGCCGTCCTTGACTGCTTTCCCGGGCCACAGGCAGGGAGCTGGAAGGGAAGCGGGGCTGCTGGGATAGAACCTGTGCCCACATGGGATCCCGGGCGTGCAAGGCGAGGACCTTAACCACTACACTATCACATTGGGCCCTAGTCATTCAGTTTTGAGGCTATATGAACAGTGAGAATTTTCAGAAAATAGTACAAGTATTCAGACCATTTTTTTTTCATATATTACCCACTTGCTGATTTCAAATTGATTACTTTCCAAAACTAGGACCACTTTCTGAAATTTTCACATAAAAGAGGTAATATGTGCAAACCTTTTACATAAAATGTTAAGAGGTTCTAGTCTTTCCTAATGGAATATAAATTCTCTAATGGCAGGAATTATGACAATGATAGAATCACCACCACAGCATTTGCAGGATTTATGACAATGCTCTGCAAAGTTGATGTAGTTCCACAAAAAAAAAAATTATAAAGTTTGTGGAAACTGTCATTAATAGTACCTACTGAATGTTTAAATACTTTTCATGATTACTATATTAATTTTTTTTTAAAAAAAAAAAGTAATACCTTGGGTCCAATGTGGTAGCATAGCAGCTAAATCCTCCCCTTGCATCTGCCAGGATCCCATTTGGGCAATGGTTCTAATGCCAGTGGCACCACTTCCCATCCAGTTCGCTACTTGTGGCCTGGGAAAGCAGTCGAGAATGGACCAAAGCCTTGGGATCCTGCACCCATGTGGGAGAGGAGACCCAGAAGAAACTCCAGGCTCCTGGTTTTGGATTGGCTCAGCTCCAGCTGTTGCAGCCGCTTGGGGAGTGAACCATTGGACAGAAGATCTTCCTCTCTGTCTCCCCTCCTCTCTGTATATTTAACTTTCCAATAAATTTTTTAAAGTATTTACCAAAAACAAGAGTAATACCTTAACTCTTAATTTCTAAATGAGTAGTAGATTCTAGCATTATGACTTAGAATGGAGGTTGTTATGTCCTCATATACAAAACTGGGATTGTAATATATCCTACTTCTTCCAGAGGGCACTGTGAGATTCACATGAAATTGTGTAAATAAAGGAAAGATCTTTGTAAACTGTCAAGTGGAATGCAAATGTTTGTTATTATCAAGTAGCACCATTCCTATTTCTGACTTAAGTCATGTTGCAAATACTGACAGTTTTATTTGCAATTCTATTCAGAATTAATTGCATTATGAAAGGCATTATTCCAAAAGAGGCAGTAATAGAATGAATTCTGAAATTTTCTCAAAATAATTAAGAATAAGTAACAAATTTGCTACTGTCGATGGTATGCTATCATTTAACATGTACCAGTGTTCACAAGAAGTCAAAGGCTTTTTCCCTTATACATATTATCCTTACATCCCTTTGCTAGGAAAATCTTCAAAATATGGAGTCACTACTTAAGAAACTTCCTGGAACACTTAAAAATAAGTCTCACAAAAAAAAAAAAAAATCCGCACTGATAACCTAACGGTTAAGATTCCTGTGTCACATATAAGAGTGCCTGAGGACACTCTAGGCTCCAGCCTCCCACTACTGCAGACCCTGGGAGGCAACAGTGATGGCAGGTAACAGTTCCTGCCCAACCTGGGAGACCTCAAGTGAGTTCTGGCTTCCCTGCCTTGTCCCCGACTGGGGTCATTGTGGGCATATGAGAAGTAGGAGGTCTTTCTGTGTCTGTCTCTGCCTCTTAAAATTAAACTGAGAATGGAGTAAATGCTTGACCATTTCATTTATTTATTTATTTATTTATATCATCATTCAAAAGACAGAGACACACAGAGATGTCCTAAAACCTGATTAACTCTCCAAATGCCTGCAACAGCTGGCAACAGCCAGGTTAAAGTCAGAAGTTAAAACCTTAATCCAGTTCTCTAATATAGATGACAAAAACATAACTAATTGAACCATCACCTGCTGTTTCAGGATGCAAAATAGCAAGAAGCTGTAATCAGGCATAGAGCTGTGACTGTAACCCAGGCACTCTGAAACAGTTTGTGGTAAATGCCTGCCCCATGGAGTCAAAGTTGTAAAAGATAGCCATCATACCTGGACAATCCCTCCAGGAAGACTTCTCAGAACAAAACAGGAGCTTCTTCAAAAGAAATGCCTTAATATAATTAAAGCAATGATATTAATAAATGCATTATAAATACTTTCTCATATTACTATTTTAAAACTGAGAAAAATTAAGTTGTTTTCTCTTATTCTTTGGCGTATGTATAACTCAAATGGGTTTTTCCATAATCAATAGCAGCTTCATACTCTTTACTAAGAACATAGTAACACAAACTTAATTCTAGATCTATAAAATGTTCCTACAACACATTTTCCGAGACACAGAAAAACAGATTCAAATAATGGGCACATACCTAGTAATTACAGAAACTTACTGCTTCATTCCCAAGGTGAAGACCATGTAAAAGAGCAACCAGTCTACACTTTTCTTAGATTACTTGAGATAAAAGAAATCTAGATAGAAAAGTGTTCTGCTACATTAGCTTTGGTCTATGACACAAGAATACTTTAAGCAGAACTTTTTTCTGTTTTAACTGAAAAATCTGTTAGACTAAGAAAAAAAATTGAACTAATTTCTAACTTTTCTCTTAAGCTAGTCAATTATGTTTCACTGGTTATCTGCTACTGTCAGTTGAGGGTAATACATTTGTTAATTTCTCAAAGTGTAACTTGCATCTAAAATGCATAATTGAAAACGCAGACTCTTAAGCAACACGTAAGAAGGCTGAATGTCTAGGACAGAGCCAACAAAATCAGATTTCTGTGATAACTCATAAATCTGACAGTGTTAAGTACATAGAGCAGGAGTACTGCTCTCAATCAAACAAATTATAATTCTATTGCTTTACTAAGGGTAACTAAGAATCCAGGCATTAAAAGGTTGCATTGCGGATTACATGAAAAAAACCACTGTAATATACTCAGCATATTACCTGGCACCTAATGAGCATTCCTTTCAAATCATTTTAACAAATAGTAATATACTACAATATTTTCATAGAAGTAAATCAAGAGCTTCCGATTTTCCCCCCAAATAACCATTACCCTAAGATGGAGTAATGCAAATACACTATAAAATTTTGGCAGTAAAGGACATGTATTACTTCACCATGATATAATCACCATAATCATTTTGAGATACAGTTCCTTTTTACATACTTATTTCTAATTGCACTGCAAGTGAGAAATACATGGGTATATGTTTTCCATTTGTTCATTTTTTCTACGAAATTAATAACAATCATTATTAATCTATTATTTCATATTAAGTTTCATTACTACACATTAGATTGTTGAAAATATCCCGTTACCATAAATAATTGAGCTTTTAAAATACAAATTTTTCCACTTTAAACATTTCTTTAGATAACAGTTGCAAAATATAGCATCAAAGAATATTATTATGGTTCTGACTAGAATATAAAATTTCTTCCAAAAAAATGAAAGCACAAATGTGTCCCACACAGTAGCATGTGATCACACCATCCCTAGATGTACCAGCAACAATTTTATGGTTAAAAATTAGAAAACAAAATAGTATCTAGTTGTAGTTTTGATTTTCTTAAATTTCTAGTGGGACTGAGTATCTTGACTCATTTCCTGTCCAGCATCATTCTATCTGTTTCAACGCATACTTACCTGCTTTTCACCACTGAGGTCTTAGTAATTACTTTTGTATCTATTTCATAACGCATTCATTGTATTAGACAAATTCCTTTATTGCTACTGTAAGTACTTTTCTGTATGATTAAATTTTAATTTTTTACATGGTTAAACATGATTTCAGGAATAGTTTGATATGTGACATAATGTAATTTACTTTTTTTCCCATCACACTGCCAACCAGTTAAACTGATTAGCATTAGGGAATTCCATCACTAATCTGAGTTCCTGCTTTATCATGATACAACAAATCTGTGATATATTGTTATATGTAATAAGATCTAGAACTATTATCTTGTTAATTCTTTAACCTCCTTCTAGCAATGGTATGTCATTACTTATCATTTAATCAGCTTAATATCTAGATTTGTTCATTTCTTTCACACTCTCAATGTGTTTAATTGACTTTATAAATGAAAATTCCTTCACTAAAAAAACTTACATGTCTTTTAAACTAAAGTATTACATCAAAGTTACACAAATACAGGTTTAGGATTTTGAACAAAACTATTCCCTGTTGCAATACACATCACTTGAAAATATAATAATTTGGAAATACACTGGATTTTAAGTGCACATGGTATATACCAGGCATTTAACAACATTAACTGACTTTGAATAATAGCAATTGGGTATTATTACTAACCAGTAATATCCATAGCAGTATCCATAACCACTATATCCATAGTCTGATTATATGTGCAAAAGACAAAACTGCAAGCTCAGATAAGATCCTACTGGCAATCAAAATTTGCCTCAATTACTTATGACAGCTGTAACTACTAACTTTTAAATTCTTTGTATTCCATGACTCTAAAATATGAATCCTTAAATTTAGAAATAATTTTACTAATTAAAGATCAACTTTGCTATTTGAATATTTAAAATGACAAAAATTTAAATACCAAGATGACTATAATCTATAATGACTGTTATTTGAATAAATCCAAGATTTTTTTTCCTTTAGAGACATAAGTTTTTAATTTAATAACGTAAGTCTATGCAGGATTGAGTTTTATAGACAAACTAACTATGACAGTTGAAGACTGTATTCTTTATATCCAATGAATTAATGTCAATTTAAACATATTTTCAAAACATGATTAAAACTTAATAAATTTGACCTAATAGCAACTATTGATTTTGTTCAGAATTGTTCTACATATTACAACGCATATTAATGCCATTCAGACACTGCAAATAATAGTAAATTGAAAATCCTTGAATAACAATTTATAGCAAATCTCCCTTCAAAGCTTAAAAAGGTATAAAACAGATTCAAAGTCAAAAACATGTAGATAAAACATACTTAACACAAAGAAAATATTTTTGTTTTTTAATTTCTGCTTAAAATCAGTTGCCACTGATTTTATTTAGAAAGGTCAACACTATATCCTAAAATTATATGTATTGCCAACTTATTTTGAAAATTTAAAGTTATAGGCCATGAAAATATTAACTTCAACTTTTTAGAAAATTCATATTGATAGAACTGAATTACATTTATTTGGAGTATAAAATGTTATCATCCATCAAGATCTTCATCAAAGGATAAGTATTTTCTATATTTTAGAAGGTGAGGGAAAACCCATTACTTTTTCTTGAAAATGAGTGCCAACAAGATAATAATCAACAACACATATACCACATTCATATTCATTTTTGTTAAGCATATGTACAGAAATTTGCATGAGCAAAAGTTAAAAAGTTAACTGGTCACGGTTTATGATTACTTAGAGTACAGATAATAAAAACAAAAGGTGAAATAATGAAATATTTGGATGCATCCCCCCAAGGAGTTGGTAACATAGTCTATTTTACCTGAACAGGCGCAATAACAGCACAGGGGCCACCTTCAAACTGTTCCAATGCAGAGCCCTCTGATTCACTAAACACAAACCCTAAAATGAAAGCAGGCAGCAAAGATTAAAAACATAATTAAAGCAACAGTTAAAATAATTTTCAGAGAAATCACTTACAACAGCAAAACATATTCAAGGCATCAGACTTATTATTTCAGGGTTATAAGTAAATCCTTTGAAAACAGCCAAGGATCTGTTTGTTCCTTGCCCCAAAATCACACAACCTCATATATGAGTGTCCATGCACACACACAAACTCATACCCAGAATACCCTTTACCAAGAAAAAATGTAGACTCAAGTTAAAAAACACACAATAATTGTACTTGCCTTCAAGAAAACTGGTCTACTGAACTCAAACATAACTTTGAGGGTCTTTCTACTTAGCGTCCTCTGATTACTAAAGCCTTTCAGTCACCTTCTCTGAAGCACAAATTGTATCACAGAGAATGTGTTCATACTGATAATCTTACTAATTTTTTAAAAGATTTAAGCATTAATATTAGTTTCATAAAGATTTATTTTATTTTCATTCATATTTTATTTCATCTGCAGAAAGAAGGAGAGACAGAAAGATTTTCTTTCCGCTGGTTTGTTCCCCAAGTTCCCAAAAAAGTCAGAGCTGAGTTAACCTGAAACCAGGAGCCAGGAGCTTCCTCCAAGTCTCCCACACAGGTGCAGGGTCCCTAGGCTTTTGACAGTCCTCAATTGCTTTCCCAGGCCACAAGCAGGGAGCTGGATGGGAAGTGGAGCAACTGGGACACAAACAGACGCCTATATGGGATCCTAGCACGTGCAAAGCAAGGACTTAGCCACTGAGTCATCACGCCAGGCCCAACTCTGTATTATTTTAAATATTATCTAATCATCACTGACTGAACAGACAATAAAAGCTCTTCAGAGGCCCCAAAGGCAGGGATTAGGAAAATTCAATTACTGTCTGGTGACCTTGAGAAAATCACTTTACTTTCCTACACCTTGGTGCTTTTATCCTGAACAATTCCGCCAGGTTAAGAATCCATAAAATTTCATTAGTAGTTACAATTCAGTTATCAGTTATCAAATATTTAATGAACATCAAATGATGTCAAAATAATCATCTAGGATATATACATAAAAGTAAAAATTCCTGGTCTGGAGGAGGAAACTATCCAGATGAAGTCAGATCTAAAGCCAGTATTACTAAAATAAGTGAAGAAAGAAGACAGAGCTTTGGGTACAGAAATGAATGACTTACTCCACCTTATCCATTTTTAACAGATGACTCTTAGGCTGATCAGAGGTAAGGATAGGCAAAAGAAAATCAAAGTTGCCCTCGGAGGCCAAGAACTCTGAGGTCACCCACTCCCATTTGGATCTACCACATGGGATGGAAGAAGTCCAAATCCTCCCTTGCAGGATCCAAGAGAATCAGAACAACAGCCAGAAACCCTGAGCAGTCCGCAGAAACAGAACAGTAAACTTCCTTCAGGGACTAGGGAGGGGAGCTCATCTGGTTCTCATTTCGTTCCAACTTTGAATCCACACCCTCTCTGGCAGTGACCATCAGGATCGCTCTGGACACCCCTCAAAACAAACAAATACCCAAACAAACAAAAAATCTAGAATAGATAGGCAGAGAACAACAAGCAAAGCCTAGAATCAGACAGGAAATGGTCAGCGTGGATTCACTTATACCTTACTAGGTGGGACACAAAGACTACTCACTAGGGCATGAATATTTCTCTGCACACCCCTCCTTAAAATTGTTCTGCACCTAAACTGTTGACACATGTGTTGTTAGAGTTAGAAGCCAGTTTAGACTTCCCCCCCGCCCAAAAAAAAGCCAGGTACAGCAGAATTATGCTTCAGCCCTATAAAAAGCTAAATACTACAATGAAAATAGACACGAGACAGCTGAATAGTAATCCATAGCCATTTTAAGGTGTATAGAACCCGGCTGTATATAAACTAAAATCGAAATGTCAATGAAGAAGTCACAGGATGTGGTTAAGAACTTGCATTCTTTTTAACATATTGGTTACTCAATACTATATCCACTAATTCTATAACGTTGTAAATTGTTGGTGATGTTATGTTGGGGCTTTTAATTGATCAGGATGATACTCTGCCAGCTCTACCTTCAGACCAGAGATGGTCTCCCCAACAAGCTGTTGAATTTATCTGGACAATAAGATACTGGACTCTATGCTTGGTATATGCTTGCAATAAAAGAATCTCAACTGAACTTGAACTGTGGTTATGCAACAAAGTGGAGGAATCCACCATGCGGGGAGGGTTTGGGGAGCGGACGGGGGAATCCCAGAACCTATAAAACTGTGTCACATAATGCAATGTAATTAATAAAAAAAAAAAAAGAAACTCAAGGAAGGAAACCATCTTTACTGAAGCTTTTGTGGGGCAGGAAAAGTTAGTGAATTCATAAGAAATTTAATGTAGATAAAGGCAGTATCTAAAGTAGGACAGAATGGATGATAAATTGGAGGAAGGCACCAAATACTGCAAAAAAAAAAAAAAAAAAAAAAAAAAAAAAAAAAAAACATGATCCACCCACAAGTCTTTAAACCAAGGATCCTAAGATCATTATAATCTTTGTTTCTTCTTCTAAAGAAGCAAAACACAGAGAAAGTTGATTCAACAGCCCTAAAAGAACACTTACCTAATAAAAAGCACTAGCATAAAGAGAAACTGAATTAAAATATTTCTAGGGTAAAACGAAGATTTGATTAGTATGTGAGGCAAAGTGTTGGTGCAAGGAATTGGAGCCGTCTCTGAAATTCCTAGGCTGAAACACTAGGTGAGATAAGAAATGCTGGAGAGAATTTCAGTCCATATCATCCTCTCTCTTTTCCTTCACTCTTTGAAAAAAAGCATGTATCTCACATATCCAGAATGAAAAAAACTTTCTCAAAATTCCAACAAAATCTCCAACTAGCAAGCCTTCATCCTTACCCTCCATGAGCCCATCTAGTCATCTATATGTATTCGATTCAAAATAATCCAGTTTTCAACCTATGTGTCTACCACGCACTGTCACGCAAGTTCACCAACAACTACAGGTTATTTCTCACTTCTTATTTCATTTACTCTCCTAGGGAATTCTTTACAATACTGACACCAGGGGACCTGTGTGGTAAACTAGTGGCTAAGGTCCTCGCCTTGAATGCACTGGGATTGCATAGGGGCACCGGTTCTAATCCCAGCAGCTCCACTTCCCATCCAGCTCCCTGCTTGTGGCCTGGGAAAGCAGTCGAGGACGGCCCAAAGCCTTGGGACCCTGCACCCATGTGGGAGACCTAGAAGAAGCTCCTGGGTCCTGGCTTCGGATTGGCTCAGATCCGGCCTTTGCAGCCACTTGAGGAAGATGCATGGAAGATGAAGATCTTTCTGGATCTCCTTCTGTTTATCTGCCTAGCCAATAAAAATAAATAAATCTTTTAAAAATATACTGACCCCAATTTCTGATAAATGCTTGTTCCTTGTATTTTGGTCCTACTCATTCCAAAGTGTCCTCTCCTTAATCAGCTCTTCTTAAATGTACTTTTCCACAGGTCTTGTTTCAGGATCTATTTTTATTTTTCAAATATTTATTATTTCAAAGGAATAATTACAGAGAGGACAAAGAGCGACAGAGATCTTCCACCTGCTGGTTCAATCCCTAGACAGCTGGAATGGCTGGAGTTGGGCCAGTTCAAAACCATGAGCCTGGAGCTTCTTCCAGGACTCCCACATGGGCACAGTGACCCAAGCTTTTGGGCCATCCTCCCCTGCTTTCCCAAGCCATTAGCAGTGAAATGATCAGAAGCAGAACAGCTGGGACTCGAAAAGGCACAGGATTAACACGTTATGTCACAGTGCCACACTCTATGTTGTCTAATGTATGCATTTTCCCAAGGTAATTTTCTGTATTTCCTAGATTTCCATTACTAATACAGCTTAGCTCCAGTTTCCAGGAATGTTCAGGGACCACATTCCTTAACATGGGTCTGTATAACCTGGCTTCTGCCTTCTTCTACTTCACTATCCTCTGCCATTCTCCCCAGTTACCCTCCAGGCAGACCGAGCTGCTTTCAGGTTCTCAAATATTCTATTTCTCTCTGGTTTCTCATCTTTTATACATGACATCCCTTCTGCTTGACACATCTGCTAACCCTTTCCCTAAAAAAAATCTGGCCACTTTTTTAGGCTTCACCCTAAGATAAGGTCCTCTTAGTTCAAGGCTCCCAAAACTATGCTGAAAATGTACATTGCCATCCCATATCTCTGGTCCATATGTCAATTTGAACTACCATCATCTCTCATACTTCCAACAAAATCCTCCCAATCCACCCTATTTCATTCCCAACTCTGATTTAGTTACCACAGAGTTGCCAGAAAATATTTTAGAAATAGAATCAGATTTGTCACATTGTGTTAAAGCATTTCGGTGGCTTCTCACTGCAATTAGAATGAAATCTAAACTTTTCATGGCTTAAAAAAGATGATGCATGATTAATCCAGTGACTGTCACTTCCTTCTATCCAAATTACTTATAGTGAGACGCTAGGAGCTTCCAACTGTCCAAAGTCCTCCCCTGTTTGGGGCCTCGTCCACTCTTTCCTCTGCATGCAATGCTCTTTCCCCTGCTCTCTTCATACAGCTAAGCTACACAGGGTTTGGCTCATTAACTCTTCAAACAGCTGTGTTCTAAGTAACCTAAGTAGTCCACTGTTTTTTTTTTTAAGATTTATTTATTTATTTGAAAAGTCAGATATACAGAGAGGAGAAAAGACAGAGAGGAAGATCTTCCCTCCAATGATTCACTCCCCAAGTGAGCACAACGGCCCATGCTATGCCGATCCGAAGCCAGGATCCAGGAACTTCTTCCAGGTCTCCCACACAGGTGCAGGGTCCCAAGGCTTTGGGCCGTCCTCGACTGCTTTCCCAAGCCATAAGCAGGGAGCTGGATGGGAAGTGGAGCTGCCGCGATTAGAACCGGTGCCCATATGGGATCCTGGTGTGTTCAAGGCGAGGACGTTAGCCGCCAGGCCATGCCACCGG